CTTGGCCATGTCATGTTGCACTAACTAACTCGCATACGCAGGGGCTGATGCACATAATGAGTTCTGCTCTCTGGCAGATGATGATTATTTTGTTTAACCTTGCTACCCTGTTTAGGGAGGAGAGGGTAACATTGCCGCCTATGAGGATATGCTTACCCTGATAAATTGCACAGTCATTGGAATATTAGTGTGTTTGTTTGCTCTAAAATATAAATTTGTAGAGCTTAGTTTTTATAGTAATAATATTGATATGGTTTGTAAACAACACAATGACACAACAATCCAAAACTTTGTGACATAGTCGCTAAATCAAATGAATTTGTACGATTTCATTCGTTCATTTTGTTTTCGGCTTAGTCGCTTTGGTAATCAGGGGTCGCCACCGTGAAATGAACCACCACCTTATCCAGCAAATGCTTTATGCAGCAGATGCACTTCCAGCTACAACCCATCACTGGGAAACACCCATGCACACTTTTTCACACACATACACTTTAGCCAATTTAGCTTATTCAGTTTATCCATAATGCATGTCTTTGAAACCGGAGCACCTGGAGGAAACCCAAGCTAACACGGGGAAAAGTCCACAAAGATTTGCCAACTGACCTTGCCAGGGCTTGAATCAGTGAACTTCTTGCTGTGAGGTGATCGTCCTACCCACTGCATCACTGTGAAGACTTGTACGTTCTCATTTGTACATTTTAGTACAATTTGCTCATGCCCCAATGATGGTTGGGTTAAGGGTTGAGGTTTCTGGTTTTACTGTACAAATCATACATTCATTCATTAATTTTCTTGTCAGCTTACTCCCTTGATTAATCTTGGGTTACCACTGCAGAATGAACCACCAACTTATCCAGCACATGTTTTTATGCAGTGGATGCCCTTCCAGCTGCAACCCATTTCTAGAAAACATCCATACACACTCATTCACAAATACACTATGGACAATTTATCCTATAATTCATATACCGCATGCCTTTGGACTTGTGGGGGAAACCAGAGCACCCGGAGGAAACCCACGCGAACACGGGGAGAACATACAAACTCCACACAGAAACGCCAGCTGACCCAGCTGAGGCTTGAACTAGCGACCTTCTTGCTGTAAGGCAACAGCACTACCTACTGCGCCACCGCGTATCAAATCGCACATTTTCGTACTAATTAAATTTGAATTAGCCACTTTTCTGAAAATATGTAAAATAGCTGCATTTCCTTGTAAGATCGACAGGGGTGGACTTAACCAATAAGAGAGGAAAGCAGCTGCTTAGGGCCCCATGGAATTAGGGGACCGGACCAATACCAATGCTATATTAATCGTATAACTCTTTTATAAATGTTCTATCATAAGTTATAAAATCTGTCTATAACCGTTAAGATTTTAATGTTTTTACTTTTTTTAAGTGCACATGCAAATATTAAAATCTAATCAAAAATATGGCTTATTAACTGTACATAGTTGATAATAATTAGTAAATTCTTTATATTTCATTTTACATTAAGTAGATAAAGGTTCCACTGAAAATATTTTTATAACATGCATTTAGTCTATTTACAAAACAGAGAAAAAAATATCTATAAAGACAGACAGTGTTTTGAGTTTCAATGCTAGGGTCCCATATCTTGCTTAGGGCCCTCAAAATACTATGTCCGCCCCTGAAGATTGGTCAACTATACATTCATAAACAGGGTGTCCGCGGGGTCTTAAAAAGTATTAAAATTTGATAAATTAATAATGAGAAAATTAAGGCCCTTAAAAGGTATTAAAAAGTCTTAGTCACTTTTTTTTTTACAAGGTTTTATATTTTGTGCAAGCATTGTGCAAAGTTTTTGACTCCAAAAAAGCATACATATATATTTATTTTCTTCCTAATATTAACAATGGTGTGCTCGATCGTTGAAATTTTTTTTTGGGGCCGAGGCATGCTCGGCCAAGCTCCTCTGTTCGGGTGATGTCACTTAATTGTAAGTTGGAAAATGTAAGTTTGCATACTCCTAGTTGGAGAAAGATGAGTTTAGACAGTGGCTGAAGCCTGTCCCTGAAAACAACCGCACAATTGATTCTATCGAGCTTTGTTTCTTCCAAGCTTATCTGTTGAGTTCTGTTGCATGATTGTGCTCCATCGATTTATTAGTTTTATTATTAGTTGCTGTTTATTAGCAACTTTTTATTAAATTAAAGGTTTGATACTGATTTGAACTTGAAGTGGTGATGAGGTCTTAAAATATTCTGAGAAAGTTTTTAGAAAGTCTTTAAAATGTATTGAAATTACCTTTAGTATTCCTGCATATACCCTGGATCTTTTTTCTTACAAAACATGAAGGCCACTATGTTTTTGACATCTACAACTTTTCTGGAAGGAAGCATGCAGAGAATGTCTTTATAAAATTTCTTCTTGTCAACAAAATGACACTCAAGCAGATAGCTGAATTGTGAATAAGAATAGCAATTGTTTCAATTTGTTTTGAAGATTTTTTATGTAAATAATTGTATACAAGTTAAGCATCCAATGATAATGCTATTTATAATGATTCAATATTTAACATATGAAGAAATTTTATTAACATTTGTAAAACATACTAGCTGGGGTTGACTTATAAGTAAATAAAGCTTGAACAAAGCCTTTCTCAATTAAGTCAATGGAAATAAGCCAGTGGATCACCTGACCTGTTACAGTATAGTTTACATGTTTGTATGTGTACAATAAAAGAATCAATTAAAAAAAAAATACAATAAAATTCTCTGTGGAATAATTACAGTTTAAATATAATATTAAAATGCAGTTTCCTTTGATAAATTTAGAAATAGGAATGTGTGCAGTTTACATAGACATTTGTTGTAATGCTGACTAAATAGTTTTAGACTACTGTGGACGATACCGTTAAAGTTTTGATAATAATATGGCTCTAATGGTTTGTCATGGGTGTAGTCCATTGAAGGAAATGAGTGCTGACCCTGTCCGATTCAGTTCCGCAGAACACAGAACATTTGGAGATGTGGATGATTACTCTGTCTGAAGTCATAAACACATCGCTTTCATGGTTTTTCTTCAGCCTCTATGGCTTTAACTTCAACTGCGCTGTGACTGGAGATTGTGGTTCCTCCTTCAGCGGACTGCCAAACATGTGCGAGACCCTTTGAATTTAGTTCACCTCGTAGGCTTTCCAAAAGCCTTATGATGTCACTACAGAATAACAGCCCCAAACGTGATGATAATGCCATTGCTATGCTTTTCACCTGAATGTTTCCTATAATTCAACTTGTATGCTCAGCTGCAAGGAAGCCATTTGTCAGGAAGTTCATGAAAATTACCAAGCCCATTATGGAGCTCAGGGATTTGGTGCCGTTGACACTAGTTGATAAAGTGCCTGTTTATGCCAAAGTGTTTGAACTCGTGACAGCTAATTAATAATGTGTTAATCACTCTGAGAAGGGAATAATGGAAAAATATGGATGAATGCTCTTTTTGTTTCTATTCTGATAAGGTTTAGACAGCACCTTTTTCAAACCTTTCTGATTCCATTTCTTAAAGGATTCAATTGTTAGGATGGTATCATAAAATAATAATAATAATAACAACAACAACAACCTATTTTTCAAATCACTAATTATCTGTGCATCTATTACTGTGGCCAAAACATGTTTAAATTTCTTGTTTTTGCTTTCCTTTTCTAATCAAAATAAATGCTACTCAGCCAGAATTTTCCATTTCTTTCGCAGATGTGACCTTTTGTGCAGAACAAAGACAAATCGCTGACTTTATTTCCGTTCTTTTATTTCCACTCTTTTGTTACCCCAGACATCCAAATAGGTTCACATTTGAACATTCACCCTTTACCTTTTAATCTCTCTTTTATTCCTCCGTCCTCTTCTCGTGGCTTTAGGGTCACTGCAGAGTTAAGAACAGCAAAATGAGACACAGATTGATAATTACGAGAGGGAAGCCCCTCTAATGTGATTTATCTCTATGGATTTTCTGTCATACATGAAGAGTCGATCCTCAAATTGGAGAGGAGGGCCCATTAGAAGGCACTTTGGAGCGTTTACCGCTAACTTTACAGAGGCAGGCTTCTTCGTTTGCTGCCGCTGCACACCAGACCACTGCTTTTACTGTATTTGTTGTCTGAGGCGGGTGCTGTCTAAGGCTAATTTAATTTAGGGTCATAACACGCAATGGATGAAGCAGAGGGAATTACATTAAAACAAGCCTTAGTGGTTGCTGTAACCTTTCCGCTTGATTGCTGTTTGCTAGACGTTGCATCAGAATCAGATAAGAGGCACCGAGGAAAAAATCAAGCCATGTTGTTTTGTGCTTTGAGCACGGTTTTCGTTTATTCTGGGTTGAATTCGTACCAGCTTTGTAGCTCATCTCTTGATTTATTGATTCTGATTGTTACACGGGATTTCACAAAGGACTGCTTATTCATTTACTCCTCTATTTTGGTACCGACAGATAAAACGTAATTTAAGTTCTAGCAAAGGGATGTTTGCAGTGTTAGGTGTTTGCGTAAAGAATCACATTCGAGTTCAAAGGCTTTTCTGATAACAAATTCTGACAAAGAAAAATGTCTCCTTGTGCATTATGGGTAGGTTCTACATTTTTTAGTGTAGCCCAAAGGCATTAGCAAATACATGTCCACTGTTATTAATCACTGTGACAATGGGCTGGAAATGACCTAGAGTTCCATTTGTTTCCTGTGTGTATGGATTTACTACACACACACACACACACACACACACACACACACACACACACACACACACACACACACACACACACACACACAAGCTCAGGTGTCAACACACACACTAATGATGTAGTATGCTTCTTTTTCTACATCTGGTCTGATGGACAGCATTCTTCTCAGGTGAAAGTAACACAGGAACAGACTTGTGCCTCCAAGTAACTTTCATATGTGGCGCATTATAGTGAACGTGTTTTGAATAAATGCATACAATATTGTGATGATTAAGTGTTGCTTTATTCTTCTGTCCGCAGTCTCATTGTGCTCAATATTCAGCTGAGAAACGCGATGAGGAGAAGATGTGTGATCACCTGATCAGGGCCGCCAAGTACCGGGATCATGTGACGTCCACGCAGCTCATCCAGAAGATTGTAAACATCCTCACAGACAAACATGGTGCATGGGGCAGCTCGGCTTTCAGGTACAATTTCATTTTTGCAGTTTAAATGGATCAAATGCTCTTTGTAAAATTCCACTAAAGTATATAATACTAGACTAAGCTAGTCTGACTTCTGGTTTGAAGACATATATCTGGTCTGAATTTTCTATTTTTTTAATTTATAGCTTGTTATGACCAAGCATGCTGATCACTGACTTCTGAAGGGACCAACAATGGGTCTTACCTGATGTTTCGAACAGGGTTATTTGAAATGGTGTTAAGGCTAATGACTTGGTTTTCTAATGACTCAAGTCTTTCTTTAAAAGCATTATTTTATCACACTGTTTAGGCCTTTGACTCACCAAATCATTGGTGACAGTTGGCCATTGGTCAACACTGGGCCATCTGTGATCACCTATCAGGCTAGTTTGTTTGGGGTTGAGAGAGGGAACACAAAGAACCACTTGTCATCTTGTTGCATTTCTCAAATATTAGCAATCAGTATATATTTTCAGTTAATCAGACATACACTCACCGACCCCATTTTGCCTTCAGAACTGCCCTAATTCATTTTGTCATAGATTCAACAAGGTACTGAAAATATTCATCTGAGATTAGGGTCCATATTGACATGATAGCATCAAACAGTTGCTGCAGATTTGTCATCTGCATATCCATGATGCAAAACTCACATTCCACCACATCTCAAAAGTGCTCTATTGGATTGAGATATGGTGACTGTGGAGGCCAAACGAGTACAGTGAATTCATTGTCATGTTCAAGAAACCAGTCTGAAATGATTCATGCTTTGTGACTTGGCGCATTATCCTGCTGGAAGTAGCCATCAGAAAATGGGTACACTGGGGTCATAAAGGGATGTACATGGTCAGCAACAATACTCGGGTAGGCTGCGACGTTGACACAATGCTCAATTAGTACTAATGGGCCCAAAGTATGCCAGGAAAATATCCCCAACATCATTACACCACCGCCATCAGCCTGAACTTTTGATACAAGGCAGGATGGATCCATGCTTTCATGTTGTTGATGCCAAATTCTGACCATACCATCTGAATGTCACAGCTGAAACCAAGACTCATCAGTCCAGGCAACGTTTTTCCAATCTTCTATTGTCTAATCTTGGTGAGCCTGTGCTAATTGTAGCCTCACATTCATGTGCATAGCTGACAGGAGTGGCACCTGGTGGGGTCTTCTGCTACTGTAGCTCATCCGCCTCAAGGTTTGACGTGTTGTGCATTTTGAGATGGTTTTCTCTATACCTCAGCTGTAACGAGTGGTTATTTGAGTTACTGTTGCCTTTCTATCAACTAGAACCAGTATGGCCATTCTCATCTGACCTCTGGCATCAACAAGACATTTGCACTCACAGAACTGCCGCTCACTAGATATTTTCTATTTTTCTAATCATTCTCTGTAAACCCTAGAGAAGGTTGTGCGCGAAAATCCCAGTAAATCAGCAGTTTCTGAAATACTCAGACCAGCCCGTCTGGCACCAACAACCATGACACGTTCAAGTCACCTAATTCACCTTTCTGACCCATTCTGATGCTCGGTTTGAGCTGCAGTAAATTGTCTTGATCATGTCTACATGCCTAAATGCATTAAGTTGCTGCCATGTGATTGGCTGATTAGAAATTTACTTTAACCATCAGTTGTACAGGTGTACCTAATAAAGTAGCCAGTGAGTGTATTTGTACAAGTGAATCCCTCTGTGGTTATTGAAAAAGTACAGTGAAAATGACAAGGTTTTCTATTGTTGAATGACAATACAGACTACTGCCACCTTCAGGTATGGAAAGATGCATCTCCTCACACAGTAACAGAACGCACATTGAAGTTTCAGTCAGCTGTTGTCTGTTTGGTATATTTAAGTGCAGCGTTTTGGTCCAGATGGGACCAGATGCTTCGCTGAGGCAACAACACTTTCTTTTCTTTCTTTTTTTGTTGCCGCTGGCAATATGACATCAACATGGTTTTTGCCTTTACGTTCAAACTGAAACCAACTATTTAGAATCAGTGTCTGCTGTTTTTGGTTAGCGCTAAGGCCCAAGTAATCTGTAATTGTCACAAAACTATTATTGTAAAATAATTCATAAAATCAGTATTTTAATGGCATCTGAGATATATTATTAATGAAATTCATTTTAAGATTTTCTTCTTATTTTGTGGTATTTCTTGGTTGACCAATGAATCATACTCGAAATATGACATGTAATTATTTTAAAAGAAAGATACAAAATAGTATGAAAATCTTGAACACCTGGGGCCTCATGTACGAAGACTTGCGTGGAAATCTTACTAAAACATTGCGTACGCACAAAGCTGTAAATGTGCGTACGCAGAAAAAAATTCAGATGTATGAAACACTGCGTACACCGAATCTCACGCTTATTCTTTTGTACATCCGAATGACGTGAAACTGAGCGCAACATGCACGAGCGCAAAACCCCTCCCTGCCTCCTCCCCCGTATGAATATGCTAATGACTATGCTAATGGCAAAATCCAAAGAAAAAGCAATGGCAAAATCAAGCAAAAAGAGAAACTTTGAACAGAATGTGAATTGGAGGTGCTCCTTTCGGAGGTAGACCGGAGAAAAGCGGTGTTATTGGCAAGTTTGTTCTCCGGAATTAACAACAAAAGAAAAAAAATAGAGTGGGAGAGTTTAGCTGATGCAGTTAACACAGTTGGGTCTGAACATCGCACTGAGTGCATTAAAAAAAAATTAATTGTCTGGTTTATATTTGTAAAATGTTGCAGCACTCTTAACAGTCTCAGTGGCGCACCTCGTAAGACGCATGTGGTCATGTTATGACACGTTCGAGCATGAACTCGATATACGGATATAACCCTATCCGTATATTGGCATCTTTCCGAGCACAGTTCAGCTTGGTTCATCCCTGTCTTACAGTATGCTGGCGTCCTACTGTACCCCCATGCCAAATCATCTGTAATCATTAGACCTCATATTATTTACCTCTCTTGCGATAGGCTAAACCTACATTTCCGCCCATTATGGGCTCTAATGGAGGCCTAAAGTCATGATTCCGAGCCTGGGTTACGTCTTATTGCTTCGGTTTCTGCGTATGATGCATTGCTGTTGGAATGGGATGAAAGCCAGTCAATGTTACCTGGCCATTACTGAAGGAAACATAAGGAGCTCTATTTATTTCTGTAAACACACTGAATATCCCTTAATGATGCCGTCATGCATTGCTTCTCTCTAGAAACCCATTGCCTCTGTAGTTCAATTTCTTTTCTTTTCTTTTTTTTTTTCTTTTGCTGTGTTCCAAACAAAATGTGTTCTCTTGAGATTTGGAGACCAGTCTGTGTTTTTTTTTTTTTTTTTGTATCAAGATTTTGTGCTCGCTCTCTCTCTGGTCTTTCCTCTTAGTATTCTGCAGTCATATAATGGCAGAGTGCTCTGTTCTCTCTTTTGGCTCACTCCCCATTACTGGCCTTTATGTAGCAAGGCTATTGATGACTTTTGTAATAGCATGCGATGGGCACGTGGTGACGCTGGCACAGTCTCGGAGTGTGTTTAATAAATCACAATCAGACCCTGCTGTTACATCAATACTTCTGCTCAATTACCCAGAAGGTCATGGGCAAAAATGCTGGAGAGCTGAGGGTCGGTAACTACAGAGGAGAGAACAACATCTGGAAATAAAAGAAGGGACAAACACACACACACACACACACACACACACACACACACACACACACACACACACACACACACACACACACACACACACACACACACACACATTGCAACATGCAACTAGCAGCTGCTTGTATATATTTGATTATCCTGTGGTTTGTAAAGGTGGAATGAATCACGTTAACACAAAAGGGTTTAAAAATAATCACTGACACTAGTATTTTTACAATTTTTGAATAATTCAATTCACACGAGCAACATTTTTTCAGAAAAAAAAAAGAATTTCTACTTTTTTTTACATAGCACTGTTCAATGTCAGTTCCAAAGCAGTGAACCAATCAGAAGTCGCAGGTGGGGCAACTGTTATGAGCTTCTGTTTACAGTAGCATGGTGGCATTATCAAAAAAAAAAAAAAAAGCTTTTGAAAACCATTCCTGATTGTTGCTGCTTGCGATTTTAGACTCAAAGGCACATTCTGCATGAATAGTCCCTAATTTGTTGCACTGCTCTCATCTTACTGCTCAACTACTGACTGTATTTGTTGTTGTTGTTGTTGTTGTTGTAAATGAACCGAATTGTGATACTTGTATCATGAAGGTTTGGGAAAATTAAATATGTATACTTGTATATGAGCAATATCACACGAGTAGCAGTGCGATATGGCTGTATATCGGCTCTGTTTGGAGGCTGTATTGGTACAAGGCTGCTGGCCGAGTGTCTTAGCCTCCCATCAGTGTAATATTGCATTTATACAACAGTTTGACAGCATAATTGTGTATATAAAAAAGAAAATCAAACCCTTTTGTAAGAGTGACTACTTTCCTCCAGCAATCATTTACATTTGCAGATGACGTCAGACAGCAGAAACTGTTGCTACTTCACCAACATCACTTAAGAGCTCGTATTTGAATGTTTCTATAGCGTAATGTCTAAAGTGATGACAAAACAGGTGATTTTGCGGACATTTTAAGATAATAAGGCTGAAATCACAATATTTAAACCCAAAAAAGCCAAGGCAGGGCCTACACTACCAGATTGCTGTTGTGTTTGCGATAAGGAAAAATGCTAAACACATGCAAAAATTTCTTCTTTTTTTTTTTACTGTACTAGTCTGCAATAACAAACCCCAGGAGAAGCATAACAAACAGATGGCCAACCAAAAAGTTACTCGGGGTTATACAAAGAGTGGACAACACAAAATATATACATTCCTGATATGAGTCCCATCTTACACTTAATACACTAAAATTATACCGTTTAAACTACAGCACTACAACATACAAAAGAAAGAGATCAACTTAGAGTATCACTCACCAGGTTAATAATGATTTGATCAGCTGTAGTTAAAAATCACAATTT